ACCACCTTTTCCTAACCAAGCAAGGTTACACCCATCTCTCAAATGGTACCAAGTCACAGAGGGATAGGATGTTTGGTATCCGAAGCAATGTGATCATTTCCCCCTCCTTTTAACCTACGGCCTAGGGGCCCTGCAGCTTGTCTACACTTCTGATCTGATTGGGAGATATGGTAGCTTAAATGAGAAGAAGCCAAGGAGTTTCTAAATTCTCTCTGTGACCTTTCATGCTGTTCCATAAGGGCCACTTAAAACCCTACCAAGGTACATTGAGAGTGGTTTCTCTTCTCTTCTGATATCTTCCCATAAGATTGCCTTTGCCAACTGCACTGTTTCCCAATAAACATGATATTTACCAGCCTGATGAGATCTGTTTGACACTTGTCAGGCAGCCAAAAAAATCTGAACACAGTGACATTTTTCCCTGAACCGTTTCTCAGGCTATGAGATGATGTGCAAAACAATCACATGAAGCTTTGGGTGACCTCAAGGTTAACATTTACTACAAACCTCAAGTTTAAATTCAGGGTAGGTCCTGTAAAAGTACCTCAGCTTGACCCTCAGACTTGGGAATAAAGAACTGTTCTGGGACAATGTTCTGAGGTAAGACTTGAGTGAATGTGGCCATGGAAACAGAGACCCAGGTGGCTCATGAGACTTGAACTTTCCCAGCTTCACAAAACAGGCCACACTGCCCCAACCTGTAGATCTCGGAGTCCTGCTGACACTCTCCTATGTTACAACCTGGTAATAACGGAGAGCTCGGAGATGCTCTCAAGATTTCTTGGAATGGTGGCTCGGAGCCTTTCTCACTGGTGGAGCTCATCAGTGTGAACACACACCATCCTTCCTGCAGGGCCCACCTACAGACCTGTGCATGTGTGTTTTCATTCGTTGTTACAGTTCTGATACATTAATGCCATGTAAACATCCTCACTTCTTGGAGGTGGCTGAGGGGATGGGTGAAATGGGTGGATAGGGGAATTGAGGAGGGCACCTGTTGTGACAAGGGCCAGCTGATGTATGGAAGTGTTGAATCACTACACTGTACACTTGAAACTAATATGACACTGTATGGTAACTGGAATTTAAATAAAAACTTTAAAAAAATAAATAAATAAACATCCTCACTTCTTGCTTTGTAAGTTGCTAGCCTAGAAATCCTGGGCAAGTGGGTTCTACTCATAGAAATTCTACTAAAATGACATATTCTGTACTACCTTATAGAAAAAGAAATTGTCTAAGAAGAATACCAGATTGCTGTTTTCATCTGTCCTCTTAAAAGCTCTCTCTGGATTAAACCCATGAACTTCCCCCTCACCCTAATGACCTTTCACTGAGGACTGCCAAGGCATGATACCCCTGACTAGCACTGAAGAACATGGTACGAAATGGCATCATAAGGCAAGGTCGCTAGTTTTGCTGTACAACACTGGGTACGTCGTTGAGAATGCTGGCCATTGCAAATGCAGTGTTCTCTGGCTGAAAATCTGAAGGAGAAATTCCTCTCACCTCCTAGAATCAGGAATAGATGGATTTCTCCAATTTGGTTTCTCTTCGGGACACCCTGAAGCTCGTTGTGGACTCCTTGCCTCTTCCCTTAAGCTGCTGGAACGCTTGCAACCAGAACTTCAAAGTACACTAACCAACCTCGGTCATAACCCCATCTTATTTTCCTTTCTCATCCTAAATTTGCTGTAACTTGTCCTACTGTATGCATCTTTGTAAGCCATCCCAAATCACTTTTGGATTCAGGTAGGGTATAAATAAAACTAAAGATATTATCATCAGCATATATGCCTAGTTCTCCTACTCCAGATGGTGAGCTCTTGTCAGCAAGGGCTGTGCGCCGCCCCACTATGAAATCCGTATAGTGTCCAGTGCTATCCTTTTACTGCTGAATGAATATCTGGGGAATTAAATGGTAGAATAAGTAAATTTTGATAGCACTATGTTAACTGAATTATAAAATAAGCAGTATAGCTGATGACTTTATCTTTTATTCTCAAAACACAAATGTGTCAAAGGAGGCAGGCAGATGGGTGTTTACTACAACATTAGAAGCAACTCTCAGGGCCACTGATAGGGGAATGATTACATATGCTGGTGCAGTCACACTCTCATAGGCTATACAGACATTTGAATAAACAAGATGAGACAGAAGGGCATTCACCCATCACACACTATGGGGTGGAAAAAAAAGAGCAGGCAGTGAAATAATACATTTTTCATAAATACCTAACTGCCTTTTTTGGCATTCGTACAGAAGAAGGGCTATACCCGCAAACTGCTAACTGGCTATATTTGGGAGTGAAATCAGGGGAAATGGTAGCTGGAGAAAGGGGAAGAAGTGAACACTCATTCTCTTGAGTATTGGTTGTTTTCATGGTTTTTCTTCATGTTATTTATAACAAGAAAGTTTCACTTTTGTAATTAAGAAATAAAAAACGCTGGAAAAAAACATGTAGAGACTTCAGGTTATAAAGCATTCTTGAATCCTCAAAATGTCTAATGTCTCAAGGGTTTGGTGGGGAGATATTAAGCTGGGATCCTCCAAACAAGCGGTCTTTGTTCTGTGGCAAGGCCTTCCCTAAGAGCAACTTGGCCTCCCTTCCTTAGAACCTTCATCTTGCCATGGATTCCTCCACAAAGCAGGGAAGAAATTGATCTGTTTAGTGACATACATACAGGTTTTTAAAATATGAAAAGGCAAAAAAATCTTTCTCAATCAGAACACAGCTAATCTTTACAAGTCCTTAAAACAGCATATAACAAATTATAAAACATTTACATTCTTAAGCGTCTCAATGTTTTCTTACGTGTATTAGAGCAAAACACATTAAGTGAGCAAGACTAGTTTGGGGAATTATGTCCCTAAAATGTTAACACTTTAAAGGGGGAGGGTTTAATCATTCTAAATTTTTCACCAAATGAGAATTCCTTCTTCCCCCATTCTACTCAATAAATACCTAACAAATAGGGAGAAGTTTTCTAGGCCTTCAAAATGTACTTCTGGAAGGTGTTTTTTTTTTAAGCCTAACTGGAGAAAACTAATTAAATTAACTTGACCAAGACAGATTCTCCATGTCCCCAAAATGTAAAAAATCCCAAATCAAAACCAATGTATAAACCCATCAATGAATGGTTATTTCTCAGGTGGCCATGGCAGGATCCCGCAGACACCAGCATAGCACAGGCAGGATCCCAACACCAGGTTCTACTGGAATGGTCAGGCGGACCCCGGTGAGCCCGAAGCTCAGAGATAACAACAGAGAAAGCACTAGATATGTACACGACAGCCGAGGAGAAGGAACGTGAAGCACTGAGAACATCTCACCTAAGGTAAGAAAATCAAACAAAGCAAGGAGGGGTCAAAGGGAGGATCTGACCAGGCAGAATGTGGATGATAAACACAAGCAAATAAACAAGCAACCCCAGTGAACTAACACCTGTGCACACTGCCCTCCACGCTTTGTTGTACCTGCTCACTGGTGACGGTGCCAGGTGTATGAGTCAGGGGTTAATTGTTATGAAAAGGCAATCAAAGGCATGCAGATAAACTCTGCCCTTGATTAACTCCAGGGCATGGTTACTAGAAATTAGCTCAAGGATGCTGCCTCACCTATTTCCCCAAGAAGCTTTTTGGGCGATCCCAAAGACTATGAATAAGGATTCCAGTCTGATGGTGAAAAAAGACATCTAAGGAAGCTTTGATAATCTAACCCTTTTACACAGGGTAAGGAGAATACGTTTTCAATTCTCTGTAAGACAGCTAATTTCCTAATGAGTTTCATCAGCAATGGGGTTTTGCAACAACACAATCCATCCACTTCTGTAAGAACTTCTCAAAGCTGGAAGGGGAGTTATGAGCCCCACACACTGCACTATGAGCCCCTCTGTTCCCCATCCAGCTGACAAAAGTGGACATGGCCTAATTCCACCAGCCAATGTTTTCTGGATTCACTTGTCCTCTTTAACCTACAGAGAAAAATCTGCTCTACAGACACTGTTTTCAAATCCAAGTTTACTCCTTCCACGCTTCCTTTTTCCTCAAAGCCAACTATTCTGCTTTGACGTGAACAGAACCGGTAGGAGGAAGTTCCCTCTTTGCACCTGTCCGTCCAGCTGCCTTCACTAACGTGAGTCCTGCACCCATGTGACACCAGACAAGTTCCCACACTCCCTCCTGTCCCCACCCACAGGGGTCCGGATTTCCCAGTCAATTCTATGTTCCCCTCCAGCATCTCCAACCTGAATGCGACCTGTTTATCCATTAGGCAAATGAGTTCCAAACAGTGGACTCTGATCCACTAACAAAATGAGGATTTCTGAGAACACTGAATAGGAATAGAAAGCACAGAAACAGAAAACAGAACACTGTACACAGTAAGGGTACATATTGTTTCATGAAAACGATTTCAGATGTACTTTAACTTATGTCCTGGGTCACGGTGCAAAAACCCATTTCGTACTGTGTTGTACAATCCAAAAACGTTTGAAACACCGCTTTAGACAAGCCTCTGTCCCCTTAGTCAGACTACCCCCTCGCTCTCGGTCCCACTGCTCCGCAACTCCCTTCCGCAGGCTGGCGCAAGCTCTGAACAGGCTTCCAGCTGTCTTCTTCACCCGCTGTTCTCACAAACCTTGGCCTTTTACAATGATTCACAAGCTCCTTCTCATGTATCCAAAGGACTGCCTTCTCCTTGAACAGACTAATGTTTTGAGAAAAGAAAAAATCCTTTGCTATTCCTGCCTTCTTTTCAGGTCTGGGATCTGCTTGCAGAACATCCAACTGTCTCACTATGAATAACAAACCTCAGAGCAGTAGGACTCCGCTTCTTTGTATGCTACCTTTCATCTCCAACAAGAAAAAACACCACCAAAGTCACTCGCACAATGCCTTGGGTTTTCTTACAAAATTAACCTCGCTTTCCTGATGGAATGCATTCTCTGGTGTCATACATTCAGTGCCTGATACCAGTGCCAGGTAAATACAGCTCAGCCCAAGTGGTGAGTTAAAGTCTGGTTCCCATCCTCGAGAACAGATGGTTACCCCACCTCCATATTGCCATCTTCTTCCTCTTGCAAGGCAAAGGGAAGGAGGGAAAGCACAGCAAGGTGGCTGTACACGCGTGGTGGCATCCTTTCCTCTCTCAAGGACGAGGGCACAGGCTGTCCAGCACAATTCCGCCCCCCCCCCCCGGGGTTCTGCCCTCCCTTGTCCAACCACCCACGATTCTCACCCAGACCATTCATTCTCTTCCTCCACAGAAAAACTTGTTTTCTGTATCTTCCTGTAGACTGTTCCGTTTACTTTTTTCAGCCAAAAGGACTACCCTACTTTTTAACCTTCCAAGAGATATCAAAGCTAAACAGAGCCTTCACCTGTAGGATATGGGACACTAATCTGAGAAGGGAGTGGCGAGACTCTGAGGTCTAAAGGCTGCTTCTGCAACCCGCTTGGTTTCCCCTCACACTTGGGACGCCAGCTTCCAGGGTGGGACATAAACACAGGGTGGGCCTCTTCTAGAGAGGCCCGGGGAAGAGAGAGCTGCCCTAGACTCAGAAGGGCAAGAAACACGCTCTGAGGGAACTAGAGAGAAGAGGAGGTCCTATCTAGGGCACATTCCAGAACTGGCCTGGAAGCTCCACTACTAGTCCCTTTCTGCAACCCAACCCCTGTCCCACTTCCTAGTAGGGCACACGGGGCTCCTTCACTACCTCTCTGGTTGCCCCATTATTAGGCAGGCCCTCCAAACCTCCGAAGTCACCATGTCCTCCTCCCTACTCCTTTGCTGGGAACACTTTTCATCTACCTAGCACGGAGTCAGGTCTCTGGTAACTCCTACTCCCAAGGCCTCTGTTTACCTTGGTGATCGAATCAGTCTCTCTCCGACGGAGATTTCAGAGAAGGAAGGAAAAGACAGGCCAACTCTTACAGCCATACTCCAGGGTCTACTGAGAAGGCTTCTTTGGGTTAGCTTTGGCCCTTGACCCCTGCCATTCCTAGGCACCTCCAAGCACACAGCTTTAGTTGAAAAGATCCATGATTCTTTCCAACAAAGTCAGAGGCTTAGAGTTAAAGGAATAGGAACAGAAAGCTCATAGAGTAAACAATTATGACTGCCTGAACCGCTGGATGCCAGGTGCCCAGCTCCAGACAGGTAAAATTTGTACAAGATCACACAGTAAGGATTCCAGCGCTGGACGGAGGTTTGGTGGCAAAAGGAGTTGCGGGGTAGAAAGGAAAGAAGCACTCTGTAAATATTTCTCTGGATCATCTGATGGCACAGGAAGGGGGAGGTGGCAAGTCAGCTAAAGTCCACCGTTCCCGGAGCCATTCTTTCCAATTGTCTAGCATGGCAGGAGTCCACTTTTCTAACTGAGTGCCATCCCTACAATTTAACAAAAAGATTAACACAGGGGAAAAAAAATTCTCTACTTCCCACTTAGAGGGGAACTGAGATACTCTGTCACATTACCTTAACCGGCTACATAAAGATGAGCGGCTTTGCAACCTATACCATGTGCTCACACAGCAGTATCTCGCTCAACACACACAGTCCAAGATCGATTTTTCCCAACTTCATTTACTACTGAGTGAAGATTTTACTAAAATGACAGCTTGTTTCCAGCTTCACACATCAACCCCTAATATCCACACAAACTCTCCCATCTTGTTCTCAAACGGGTATCGGATTCATTTAAACACTGTCAAACATCAGTCTTTAGGAACAATTTTATAATTTCACATAAAAATGTGTGCTACATTAACACTCACATGTATACAACGGAGAAAAAAAAAATACTGGCCAGCAACGGTGACCCTTTAATGAACTTCGACAACTCAAAGTACTTTCAGAGAGGTTTTCCCACCCTCTTGGGGCTGTAGGAAAATGCGCGCGTTACGGATCCCATTTCATGGCTGGGTAAACCGAGGTTCTCGGTTTAATAAACTTGGTGGGGTTACAATGGTAGAGCTGTAAATAGAGCCCAGTCCCTTTCCCACTAGGCTCTTCAGCACGAGGTGGCTAAAAATGGGACGCACTTGCGAACTACAAGGGTGAATAAAAGCGTCTTGTTTTATTTAGTTGGGGGGAGGCCGGAGAGGGGGAGACTTACCCACTTGATGCACCTGATTGTGTACCGGCCTCTAACAAGAAAGCTTTCCCTGGCTGCCCCACGCACCCACCCCTTTGAGCTGAGACCCAGGAGGCTCCCCGGGCAGACCCAGCAGCACGAATCGCGCACCTGGGGGTGCGAGTGGAACACCCGGCGTACGGGCGGCGCGGGGCCACGGGCCCCGGGACACTGTCAGCGCCGCCAGCGGCGCAGGAGCCCGCGGGGCCGGGAGGATGCTGCGCGGCCGCACACACCTGCTGCAGCCCGCCCCGGCGCCCCTGGCCGCCTCCCGCGCTCGGGACGCCCACCCAGCTCCGGGCGCCGGAGCCCGCGGCCGCGCTAGGCCGGGGGCGGGAAGCCGCGGCGCCCCTGCCGGAGGGCTGTGCTCGGCGGCGCGGGGGAACCGCGGCGCAAAAGCGAGCCCGCCCTTTTCCCCCGAACCCCCTCCAAACAGCGTCACCTGTGCCGGGTCCCGGGGCGACTCGCGCGCGGGCGGCGGCTGCACCGGGCCGGGGAGGGCGACGGGTGGTTACAGAAGCCTGGTCATCCGGCCCGGCCTGAGAGCTGGCGCCGGCCAGAGTCGCCCCGCAAGATGCTCGGCGGGAGCCAGGGGAGCCGCGGGGCCCCGGGCCGCTGGGAAGAGCAGTCACAGAGACTACAGCTACTGCCGCGGCCGCCGCGCCCGCCCGGACTGCGGGCTCGGGTTACCGCAGAGCGGTTCCTTAAAGGGGCCGCGGCCGCTCGGGCTCCGGCACCGGCTCCCGCTCCGGCTCGCTGCGGCTGCGACCCGCGGCCAAAGTGGGCGGGGCCCCGAGGCCAGCTGTAGGGCCGACCTTCGCGTGCTGGGACTGGGGTCCCGGAAAGGGCTCAGAAACGGGAACACCCAAGGCGGGCTGCGGTGGGATCCTGGAAGAACACACCTCGCCAGGGACAGGGCGTGCGGCTCCTCCGCTTCCCAAAGCAGGGAGCAAAGCTGCAAGTGAAGGGAACGGTCCTAGTCCGCCTCCGCAGCGGCCAGTACCTGGGCTCGCCACGTAACTGCAATTCTTTTCAGATTATGAATTTATATTAACAGAAAGGAGGTGAAAAGGCAATTGCAGATTTTTCATGCCACCTCTGACTTGGCCAAGTCCGCCCCGTTCTTGCTAGGGGTTGCAGGTGCAGTCCAAACTGGGTAGGGGGCGTGGGTGAAAGAGGCCCGTTCTCTTGCAGCAGCCTCCTCCGGATCCCTGAAAAACACCCTAGAGTGCACTAGCACTCCACCTACATATAACGCCCGGAGCCCCTCTGCTGTCAGGGTGGGGAAATAGGATTTGATTTTTGGTGCTGGCAGAGAATTCCAAGTCGCCCAATGCACAAAGTTTGCCATTCAATAGTAGCTCTTCTGACCTGCTAAGTACAGCCTCAAAAACCTGCAAATGTTCTGCATTAACATGATGGAATTGTTTTGAATAAAACAATGAAGAGGTATATTTACGCTGTTACAATTTGCGAAAAGTAATCACAAATACTTTTTTTGGAAAGAGGTGGGTTCTTATGTTAATTAGTAGGCACCACCTTAATAATGTAGGGCAGTTATTTTTAAGAAACGCCTATCAGTGGAGCTAATATGTTTTACCTAATATTTACATGCACACAAATATACGTTAGCTAACCGAACCTCACTGTGGTTCAATTTCTTCATCTATAAAATGGGGATAATAATTCATAGTTACCTCTGGAGACCCCAGTCTTGGCAAATGTACCTCAGACTGACCTAGAAAGACAAAACCTATTTTACCCTACAGGGATGGCAGCCTGCCCGCAGTCAAGCAGGGCAGAAGATCCTGCAGGCCCCCAGTGCGTATCTCCTTTTTGTCCCCAAGATTCTCAGGAGTGCCCTTTGACCACAACCCGTCCCATCATACTTGCTTCACACGGTCCTCAACAACTTTAGTTTGCCCCACACCTGCCTTAAGCATTCGTGTGCTAGATCATAACGCTACAGAGGCAGGATGTTTGTGCGTGCACATCTGTGGAGTAAGCCCTACATGTACAGATTCCACATGTCCTCTGGGGACTCTGCCTCAAGGTATCACCTCCAGATCCTCCCCTCTGCTTGTCTCCAGTGGCTGATAGTTGCTCTGTTTTTTCTTGATAAATGCACCATTATATGTTTAATATGCATATTTTCTTAACACCCACAGCAGCAGCCAAAGCCAAGTAAACCCACAAAAAAATCCACTCTATACTCTATAGAGTATATATATTCCTTCATGTCAGGCCTCTACAAATGCACCACCAAAGCTGCAGGATTGTTGCGAGATTATTCAGAGCATGCAAGTGAATACATCAAGGACAAGGCCTGAGATAAGGAAAGGAATTCAGTAAATATCAGAATTTTGAAACTTTTAAACTAATCAAAACTCAATGACCTTAGGAGGTAGAAAACTATATCAACTGCATTATTTTTCTTCAAAATTGTAATGCAGCTTAATTTCTTTAAAAATATTCATTTCATTATTCACATTTAAGTCTCTAATTATTCTTAACTTTGTTTTACCAATCCTCTCTTTCCAAGGACAGTTCCCCCAAATTCCGTTCTTTACTGTCTTAAGTTTTTCTGCTTGTTAACTGTGAGGTATCAAAGCTGAACTGCATTCCTTATACATTTGTTCACTGAAAGAGTTCAGAGAAATGAAAATTATTTATGTTTCTTTAAAAAGAGAAAAAATACAAAAATTTTTGAGGCAAATTTTCCTGATAAAAAAAATGTTTTGCATATGCTCTAGACAAGCATATGGTTTATTATATTTGTTCCTCTCTATGTACCTTTTTTCTGTGTTTTTTTTAATTCCACTATGATTAACATACAGTGCTATATTAATTTCAGGTGAGCAATATAGTGCCTCAACAATTAAATACATTACTCATTGCTCATCATGGGTGTACTCTTAATCCCCCTCACCTATTTCACCCATTCTCACACACACACAAATATATACACACACCATATCTCCTTTATCCATTCATCTATCG